CACAGAAGTAAGTTTAACGTAGCTCATATGTGGCATAAATGCGGCAGACAAATCAAACAGAGCATCTTTTATTACTGCGCTGCAATTTGGAGGGCATTTTTGGATTGCAAAATTGTTTTTATGGAATACTTTTTATCAATGGCTACCAAATCTCATCCCATTAAAGTAAGCTGGTTGTAAATCTTTTATTAGGAATTTTTGTTAAAATTATTAACTTTATCTATTAATTTAGTTATACTTCAATTTATTATTGGATGCGTGTGTCTTGGTTTGATGTACAGTTGTTCAATAGGACGGTACTTAGTGGATTATTCATTGTTACATTCTGGTCAATAATTCATTTATTATTTGATCATTTTTTCACACGGGTCTGTGTTTACACATTTGTAATTTATTCTGTTTTGACATTTGCATGAATAACCAATTATTTTTTTTAACAGGTATTTTCTACAATTGGTGTATTTATGGATCCTCACGCGATACTTATAGATGGTTTGCATGCGAATCAACAACCGTACTATCAGGTGTTAAATTATAAAATTTAAATTTTGGATTATTAAAAGTAAGTTAATTAATTAGCTTCTTTTTTTTAAAAAAATAGCAAATCGCGTTTCTAGAATTATGGCATATTTCAAAATTTGATCATGACCGACGTGTTGCGATATATGCGGATTTCAATCGCAAACAACCTTTTAATTGTACTTTGCATAATAACCCAACTTCTGCCTGGACCGAGATTTCACGCACATGCATGGACTTTATATTAGGACTTGCAAATGCTGCACAGAATGAGATCAAAACACAACAACGAAGAAAGTTGGAAATGAAAAATAAGCATGACTTATTTAAAAAGCTTACAGAGGCTGCTAAAAAGCAGAAACAATCAGTGAAAGTTGGGCAGAGGAATCTTGATGTTGGTGTTACCGCGGATACATTGACTAAAGATCGTGAATATTGGGATATGAAATTACTTGAGTGGTTTCACCCTGTAGGAGGCAATCAACGACCTTTTGTGAGGAAATTATATTGCCTTCTGGTAACTCCTTTATTTAAGAGATCTATAGAACGACGAACAAAGAATGTGTTTAAAGACTTACACGTAACAGTATATGCTATTCAGGGTAATAAATATAATTCTATTAGCGCATATTTTGTAAATTAGTATTTTAACTGATATTTTAAATATTTATAAACGCTAGCTCTGACAATGCTTACAGTCAGATCATTGCATGAGGATACGCATGGAATAGTTCAAAATGATATTTCTAATGTATTCGAATCAATGCTAGACTGCTTAATGTCTCTTGAACGCTATGCCAAGGAACCACCGTTAGATGATTGGGACATAGGTGATCCATTTACGGATACGCCCTATAAAGTCTTGGCTGAACCGTTTATTGTTATCAATGGTTAGCAATATGTATTTTTTATGTACTATAAATTCCTTATTATTTTGATTTACTAATTGTTTTCACTTACAAAATGACAGTAATAAAAGATGCTCTGTTTGATTTGTCTGCCGCATTTATGCCACATATGAGCTACGTTAAACTTACTTCTGTG